GAAATATGGTGGAAAGGTGGGGGAGCCTCAGGTGGTGAAAATGGGAACGGAGATTGCAATGGCAAACCACACAACGGAGGGGACGTTGAACAAACTGGCGATGGCGGCAGAGCATATCGACTCAGAAGTCCTGTGCGGGTCAGATGGGGTAGCTGGAAGAGGCAGCGACCAAGTGGAGCAAGGCAGAAGACTTCGTGGAGGACCCACACACCATCAGAGAGGCCGAGACTTTTGGCATCCTTAATTGGCAGTGGCAGAGCCAAACGGTGATGGGTACTGGAAATAGGGATCAGCTTGGCCCCTGTCGTCATATGAGTAAAGCTTAGGAGATCAAGAATTCGCATTATGGGAAAACGTTTCATCACTATTGCAATCAAAGAAGCATTCTACGAGAGGGATACTCCACTCACACCCCACCTACGCTCGCCGAAGGCAACATGCTGGTACCCAATAGTAGCAAGTCTCCCCCCACATTCGTTGGGGAACAAAATCAGCGATCTTGGATGGCCATGACTGCAGCTTCACCTTCTCTCGTGGTTCGAGTCAACGGTTGGGCAGTTTGCACAACTACATATATTGTGTCGGATCATTGACTCCTACAAACAATTATTGACCTGACCCCCACTTGTGCGAGAGTGAGACGAGTATCAGATTGGATCAAGACGATTGGAGTCTTTTCAGACGCAAACTGCAATCACTTTTGAGTTTGGCGCCCGATCAGCCCATCATGACGGCCACCGATCTCGATTCTGTCGTGGACCACATGACGAACTGCATTCAGGAGTCAACTTGCCTAGTGGTGCCTCAAAAGAGATTGTGCCAATTCTCCCGTCCATGGTCGAACTCTAGTCTGAGCTCAAGCCGCTCTGCAATGAATCATTGGCGCAGGAGATGGACGCGAACAGGACGAGCATATGCACGGGAATGCTCAAAGCAAGGCAGAAATTTTGATGAGACTTGGTGGCAGCCAAACGTGACTCCAGGCGAACTCTCTGCTCTGAAACTTTAGCAGTTGACGTATGGATACCCTACAAGAAATTCACTTGACGAGAGCACTTTGCAGCTATCGAACACTTGACAAATGATGAGCAAACAACAGTTCTTGATGAGTGGAAAACGGCCACTTTGGCATCAATTCTCTTCCCAACTTCACGACCAGATACGTTGCAAATTCAACAAGACATCGGCTTTGCTTGGAGCAACAGCAGACCTCCAGGTGACCCATCATCAGTGCCAGTGACGGCAGGTGAAGTGAAGAAGGCAATCAAGTCTATGAAACGCAACGCAACCCCAGTATTGGACTTCTCATAGTGGAGGTGCTTCGATAGAATCTCTTTGTTCTTGCTCCACGGCTGGCGCGAACCTACACAGCTTCTCTATCCCTCCGACACTTCCCCAGCGCTTGGAGGACAGCCAAGGTAATAACACTCAAGAAACCGGGGAAATTAGTGTACAATGCCCCGCGCAGCTATCGACCAATCAGCTTGCTCTCTCACATGGGCAAGGCGCTTGAGAAGATTGTGAACCAAAGGCAGATGACTCAGCTTGAGTGGCGAGGTTTGCTGGTACCTCACCAATATGGCTTTCGCAGAAATAGACAAACGCTCGCTGCTTGCATGAGATTGGTACATGAGGTTTATTTTTTTCAAAAAGGGGAACAAGTACAATTAATTACTTTAGACTTGCAGGCTGCATACAACAGAGTCTGGCATGTGGGTCTGCTTTGCAAATAAGAGACGTTAGGAATTGATGATTACTTGGTGGGCTGGTTCGGTCTTTTTTGAGCAAACGGGTGGCTTGTGTTGAGGTGGGGGATCACAATTCTGACACAATTTGGTGCTGCCCAAGGGTCGCCACTTTCATCTAAATTGCTTTTAGTTTATATCAATGATTTACTGCGCAGCCTTGACACATTGCCACGAACAAAAACAAAACAAGTGTTTGGGGGGGACACTGCTGGCATTTCGTCTCTCCATTCTAAGACTGTACCTATCAATGTTATACATATATGCCATTGCCTAATGCAAGGACAGCGCTTTGCCATGTCTGGCATGTGTAAAGTCTTAAGCCATTTACCTTGCATGTGCTGGCAACCAGACTCAAGGATGCATGCAGTTCAGCAAGCGTCTTGGAGCTTATATAGAATGGCCCCCCACCCTGGGGCCGACGGACCACCAACTTTCTCTGGCCATCCTCAGTCGATTGAGCCAGCTCCCCCACAATGGTGATTAGCGAACCCACGGGAAGGACGCGTTCCGATTTCTTGAGACCCAAAGGCCTGTATCCTCTGCAGCACAGCACAAGAGGCTTCAAGCTCTGGCCACACACGAGATGGACAATATCGAGGACACAAGGTGACTTCGGTTGTTTTGGCTCATGCAATCTCACCAACAGCAGCAACAACAGGTAGCATGCTAGTTATTGTGGTATGTACTGCAAACCTGCAAAACACTGGACAGAGTGGCACAACAAGGGAAGAAAAGAAGTGCCATAAGCCAAGTTGTTGCAAGGATGAGAACATGCTCCCCAAATGCACCCCTCCCCCCCCAACTGCCACCCACTGCAGTACCAGGGGGGAATATGCTTAAGTGACTCTTCTCTTTGCCAAGGATATGACGCAGGGCCTGTGAATAGAAGAGGAAAGCATGCAGAACAGAGAAAAGCAGTGAAGTGGCAGGTTCATTGATCCAGGCCCTCTGCAGTGACACTCACGTTTGACGGTCCAGGTAACTGCTGTACAAACTTCTGTGGGCTTCCCGGTACTTTTGTGCTGTTTCCACCATCGCTGTCTCCAGGAAGTCTGCTTGCTGGCAGTTCTCAACACCCAGCCTGGTCTTCCCCTGATCTGTCTGGACATTGCAGGGGAAAGCTTCAGTGATGGCATTATCAAACACACAACACAAAATCAACAAATTTGGCAACAAAATACACAATGATGACACAACACACTGACAGGGGGTGAGGGCAGGGTGGTAGGGTCAGGTTTTTCTTCTCCCATAATCGTGTCCTGTGGCACTCCAGTCAAGTTTCCAACATTTTTCTGAGTGAAGCAGTGACATGCACCATTGCAGCTATGACTTCATCAAGCCACAGTTAGGTATGAATACCAGTTTGTTATGATCATGAAGGATGACCCCGTTCAGTGTTTTGAAAGAAAACAAGAGCACCCACCAGATACCAACTCGTTTCCCACTTCTGATGCCTGATGAGCTTGCAGTTAGGTAGCCATTCCCCTTTCTCATTTTGCTTCAATGCATCTAGTTCTTCTTTCACCTGTGCAAACAATTACAAAGTCCTCTCCACGTTGAATGTGCATGTTGAGGCACACCCCACACTGCAGCCATGATGCAAGCAGATATATTGTGGTAACTCCATACAGGTATTGGATGGAGGTGCTCAGTTAGCCAGGGAGTGCGTTTGTACCACAGGACCTGTGTTGTGTGCGTGCTAAACTGACCACTGTGTGACATATGGCTTTGCACAGTTACGGCGGTAACATGTTTCTAGAATATGCGAGAATTGTATTAGCTTGCTTCTTTGTGCTCCAGCAACTTTTATTTGAGTGAACAGACTTGTCATGCACTGCAAGCCAGGGTAAGACTGGCTTGAGATTCACTCAATCTATTTGTCTGAGATGATCGTTTGAGATTCAAAGACTGGGACTCCATGAGGCTGGACATTGCCATTCATTGTTGTGTAGGTGGCAGGGCCAAGATGTGGTATGCAAAACATGCTTTGCATGCTATCGAACTCTGCCAAGAGTGCACTGAAAACATGCAGAAGAGCTCGGCACCCATCATGTAATGTCAGGCGCTTTGCTATGCCAAAGAAATTCAAGATGTTCCATTCTGTTCGCCTTCTGGACTTAACAGCGTCGCTGAGACCAACAACAGCCAACAACCAACAGTCAGCAGCCCAGATGCCAACAGCTGTAGAGAAAAGACCAACTGTACGTGACAAGAGGGAATCATCCCCACAGCAGCATGTGAGACAGATCTTCGGCTGTTCCAGTTCTCAGTCAACAAGCCAAGACACTGCCCTTTCACAAGCCAGGCGATGTCATTCGATGATTTCCGCAACCAAACATTGCTGTGAGATCGTTGGAAGCACCAGGCGGCTTGCAGGGCAGCTTGGCGATCCACAAAGAGGACATGGCAGTGAACAATTACGTTGGAATACATTCAATCAATGATGACTTACGAAGAGCTGGCAGCACAGGGTGCCAGGTTCCCACCTCCACCAAAACAGAAGGCGTGCCCGTAATCTCGGCTTGGATGGGCTCATCAGATGCCGCTCTCCCTCTAATAGCAATCAAGAGGGGCAGCAGCTGTGCAAGCTCTTTGCCTTCTGTGTACAAAACCAATGGGCAACGTGTCATCGATTTTTTGATAGCGGCATTGACATTCCGATCAACAGGCAAAGCAGGCAGCTTCCAGAGGCGGTGCTCCAGCCAACGTTGGTGAAATGTTAACATGGCACTAACCATGAAGAAGCTCTGCCAACGACAAGGCAGTCAAGGCTGCAGGTGCCCTCTTTTGCAAGCGCAGCCAATCAACACTGTCGGAACTACATGACCCTGCCTTATGGCAGGAGTACCCATTGCTGGACATGACTTGTGGCAAAAGGATCCTGTCAACCTACAGGTGCAGCCATGGATTTCTGTGCTGCAGCAGGGTCTCTATCCTTCCTAATGCGATGGCAGGTCAGAGTACTGGCACATTCCAACCAGTGATCGCACCTGACTGCATGACCAATGCGGTTGCGGAGGCGTCAGGGGTTCCATCAGCACAGTGACCATGAGATCGCAGGTTGCAATGTAACCACAGTAAAGCAATTGTGAACATTGGCTCCTCGGTTGGGATCAAAAACAGCCGCCCCATTTGGACAAAATGCTCAATTCCCTTCCCTCCCCAGTTCCGTCCACAGCCAGCATGGCACTGCAACAGTCCACTAGGCTCATCCAACCAGCCTTCCCACAAGCCACATACATTCTGGCTCGCCTGGCAACCGCCAGGAACTTCCCGAAGCCCTTCGAACGACCCATGCTCAACACAGGACCAGGGCTATTTGCGTTGTCCGAATTGCCACTTCTTGTCCAAACTAGGCTTCAAATGACCAGCTCGAAACGTCAGAAGGGACCCTACTTCGGACAATTTGTCTGGCAAATAGAAAACTGCAAACTAGCCCCATTTCAGATATGCAACAATGGACGACTTCACCTTCAGACTTGAGTTGCACACAGTTCTGAGTAGTACAACTACATTGTGAGAGAGAGCCAATATCCACAATTCTGTAAACCTCGGTCAACGTTGTGATGATGGCAATGTGCCAGTTCGCTGCAGTACACGAGGCAATTGTCAACTTGCCACTTTGCTGCACCTTGCTGCACCTTGCTGCATTGCGGCACCATGCACTTTGCGGCAATCTCCTGATCAGGCAAACCAGCAAGGGGTTTCGGCCATCGAGCTGTGTGTCTTTTGTTGTTTTCCATCAGAATGCGTGAGGTTGAGCACAGCAGGTGATTGCATGTTTGGCAAGGTTTCCTTACATGCAATCGGGAACTTTTTTGCTAGCTGTGCAGTGCAGAAATATTCTGCATAGGCAAACCAAGGAGCGGGTGTGCCCATTGAGCTCTGTGTGTTTAGTTGTTTTCCATCTGATTAGACGGAGGTTGAGTGCTGCCATTGAATTGTGTCCAGCAAGGTTTCCATTCCGTGCAATCGGCAGTTTTGGGGCATGCCAAGCAGGTTGCTGTGTGCCCCAATCATCAACTGTCGCCCACACAGATGCAAACGCGACCAAAGTGGTGAAGATCGCCACCCTCATCCCCACCCCACCTCCAGCCCCAGCCCCATTCACCCACCCCAACTCGTTGAGGCCACCAAATCCAACCCCGTCAAGAAACGACACTGCCATTCACCATGGCAGCCACGTCCAGCAAATTTTGCCCCATAACATCTTGATTCGGACAAACCATCCGGCGAAATTTTGAAAAAGCAGCTTTAATTTGCGCAATGTCTGGCGAGGCTGAACAAAACCCCAAGTCCTGTGACAGGACACCCACTGCCGCTGGGCATTCCGCCCGACTCCCCTGTCGGCAGGATCTTTCGCGCATCGCGCATTCAAGTAGGCTCTGAGGATGCGCAGCGAGCCCGACGCGATCAGCGCCTGGTTCCCCAACCCCCAGCGCGCCACGGCCCCGACTAGCTCTTGCCAGGCATGCTGTCTCTGTACCAGCAGATGGACCCCTGGACGCGGCCTGATGGGCTGAATTCAGGGCAGAAACGCGCCACCACAATCCCGCCGTTTTCCAGTGTCGCTGAAATGGATGCGTGCATTCCTTCTTGGTCACGGCAGCCGGACAAAGCCGACGCCGAACACCCGCCTCCGCAGTCGTTGGGCTCACAAACCAACACCTCTACCGCTCTTGCCGCATCTCCAAAACCACGGCGCGCACAGTCCCGATTCACCTTCAACGAAATCCTCCAAATCCACAACCCCATACACAAACATATGGCCCACACGCCATTAACACCGCGTGGACGACCCCACAACATCGCTCCAAAAGCCCATTTCTACCCCACTCCCGCTCCACACAATCCACGACTTCGCAAAGCGCGCATGCGGAGAAAGCAAAACAAAAAAACAGAGCTCACCGTCCAGGCGCTTGATCGGCCGCGCCTTCTCCAGGTCCTGCACGTCCTGGCGGTACAGCAAGTACACCAGGAAGCTCACACCGCAGGACGCCACGCTCGACCACGTCACCACGGCTTCGACGTCCATCGCTGGGGTCAACGCGTGGGTCAGTCGCGCCGGCGGCGTCGGGGCGTGGCGTGGGTCAGTCGCTGCCGCCTCTGAGCAAGGGGGGCTTGCGCTGGTGGTGCCCCCCGGGGAGTCACTGACGTCCGGGTATTTGGTTGCGGGTTGAGGTGGGCTCTTGAGTACTTATGGAAACCATCCCGTTCCGTGTTTGACACGGAAACCAGTGCGAAGATGCTGACGTGGCACAGAACGCCATGGGGACGCGCGAGAATATATTAGGCCCCTTTCTTCCGAGACGATCCCTTCTTTTGCCGACAAGGCCAACGCCGGTCAGTGGGTCAGAGGTTTTAGGGTTTGGGTTGTCCGAAACAAGAAGGGAACTTCAAGGAAAAGACATTGACTAATTTCATGCCGAGACACGCGGGCACAAAGGGTACTAGGTTGTTTAATCAGCCCACTATAGACCAGTGGAATCGAGTGGCAACGCCAGGCATACCATGGCCCGTTAATGTTTGTTACAAGCTTCCACTCATGCAACGGGACACTGCATTTGGGGTGTAGATCAACCCCGCTTGACTTTTACAGGCCGAGTCGACCACCAGTCTACATTTATTTGTTTCATACTAGTGCAACTAATACTACATACATCAATCCGACTTGTTGTCACCATCTTGGCTTAATGCCAAAGCAACCACATTCAGCATCCAATCGATAGCTTCATCTGATGTACAACTTACAACAGCTGGCTCGTGCCACCCAAATTCTTGTGGATCATACTGAGGTCTTCACACCACTATACAATGACCCTGATTCTACAGAAACAAATGTTTTCCTTGCTGATGGTTCCTTCCTACCTGCCCCGAGGGCAAAGTTGAGGAGAGGGAGAGTCGTTAGGTGCTGGAGAGCACCGACTGTGAGACCGCCCTGAGGGCGTTAAGGGTTGGACGTGAAGAAGACGCCAGCCGGGTGGCCTGCCCCAAGGGCAAGCTAAGAAAGGAGATGGACATCGAGGACATCAATAAAAACAAGAACGTCAAGGAGACATCGACTAAATAACATGTTTGAGGAAGAGACAATGGGAAACGAGTCAGCATGAGTCAGACCGGAACTACCTTCCGTTCAAAATGTCCCATTACATGTGGTGAAAAATGGGGTTCAAACGTGTGTTTCCTGACTTTGACATCCTACCAATATCATATGAGTTGTGCTTTGACAATTCTGCAATATAGTACATATTAGGTTGGCTTGGGATACAAGGGACAAATAAGAGGTTTGGAGGCATTTTGGAGACAGTGCGGTTCCGCGATGGAGGAACCGCAATATGGAGATAGCATCATCGCGGAAGCGCACAAACACTCCAAGGTCCATATCCAGCCTGGGACCGGCTGGTGCGGTTCCGCGATGGCGGAACCGCACAAAAATCTCCAGGGTCCATTTACACCACACGACGCCTGGTATAATACCTGGGAATACCAGTGGTATTCAGGCCTCCTGGACTGACAAGCGGGGGATGGTGAAGGTGGACAAAGTCTGGAAACATACCAGTGATTTGCAGCGCGCGCTGTTGGATGGGATGTGTGGGAGGCCTCCACGGGCGACGATTACCATATCTTTGAAACCACCGCACACAACGCCAGAAGTAACAAAAATTTACAAAAATGTTGAAACAACAAAAAGTTACAAAAAATGTTCATACAACAAAAAGTTGCAAAAATGTTCAAACAAAAACATCCTAAAATGACTTGGGGACCAAAGGACCCGTACGCCTGCCGACATCCTATTGTCCCTGTCCACTACCCCACAACCCCTCGGCAACTAATCCCTACGGAAGGTGACCTCATCCGTCACAGTTCGCACCCGCCTAACGACCGCCACGGGCCGCTGGGGGTCGTCCTCGGGGGCCAAAGAGCACCCTTCGAGGCCCCACGACAAATCGAGGGCGGGGTCGTCATGCTGGGGATGGGGCCCGGCAGATGGCACAGGGTCGGGCTGCCTGCTGTGCAAGGGCTCCTCTGTATCGAGCCCACGGCGAGGGTGATGGAGCAGCCAAGCCGTGGGAAGGTCATCGTAGGAGGGCAGGC